ATAATAAGTAGAGATTATAGTAAAGTCATAGAGAGCATGAGAGTTAAAAGATGGAGTCAAGTAATGAAATAAGATGCAATTCATGGTAGCATTGCTCACCTCAGCCCCGCTTGATGGTCCTCTTCGAGGGGAACCTGGCTGCGAGAATAGAAGCATCTGCCTTAGCCACCACCCCGAGAACCAGGGAACCTCCTTATTTATTGCTAACCACACATCATATCACTTTAGGGGGATCTGATTACAGAGTCATACATCACAGAAAGGGGCACTACAGTTCATCCTTGAGCAAGTTTGAACACTCTGGTGTCTTATACAATAAAACAGACAATTACTATCCTGGGAGGCATGCAAGCCCCGATAGCAGACAGTAACCTAGGGAGGGGTATCAACATAGGCAATAGGAGGGGGATGGCCTAGGAGTGTGCCCACAGGAATGGGAAGGTCTAGGGTTACCCATGTGACAAGATGGATGGACCCTGGATTCATAATGGCTACCTAACCTTGGTCATCCTTGGCTAGGTTTGACCTCTCTGGTATCTCCAAGTAAACAGACAATTACTATCCTTATCAGAAGGGAGTGGGCCTATTTGTTACGGGATAAACAGTGGTGTCTGCTTGATCTAGACAGCTGATACCTCTCAGTGAGAATGACCCCCAATCCACTCTTGATGACCTCCGAGTGCATAGTCATCCTCAAGCTAAGTCTGGCATATATTTTGGGGAGACAACTTGGGAGAAATCCTTCTGTTCCCCACAGTTGTTTCTTAAATTATATTATTTAACTCTGAACTTATTTACTTTGAAATTTCTGTGTAATGCTTTGTATAAAAAGGTAAGGTTAGGGTAAAAACTTAATGGTTGAGAATGGATTCATGTTTTCAGCTCTCTCTTATAGGAAAAATTGATTCAGAACTTGACTGCATCGCATCTAGATGCATCTAGACGTTCCTTTCTAGAACGGGTTAGTGTCGAGGTCCAGGGTTCTACTGCAGAAAAAATTGTGTGATTTGAGTTGCTTTCTGATGAGATAGAAGGATTTAGAATAATCTCTCAAGAAACAAACAAAAAATCTCACTGCCATTGAGTTGATTCTGACTGATAGTAACCCTCTATCCAACCTTATGAACCCATCATAAGGTTGGAGGAATGGGGGAAAAGAGGAGCTGCTGCCAAGGGCTCAAGTAGAAAGAAATTGTTTTGGAAATGTTGATGGCAACATATGTACAAGTGTGCTTAACTCTATTGAATGATGAAGTGTTATAAGGTTTGTAAGAGCCCCCCAATAAAATGAATAATAAAACAACAAAAACAAAACACTGAAGACAGGAGCAGGCCAGGAAGTGGTCCAGCAGCAGCAAGGGGCCCAGAGAGAACTTGTGGTGGTAGCTATGGTGACACATGACAGGGCCCCAAGAAGCCTTTATGAGGGGACAGAGAGATCATTGTCTTGATGCAGCTGACAAGTGCTTGACCCGATGGAGCCAGAGGACCCTGGTCTTAGGGGGCTAAGAAGAGGCCTGTCTTCAGGAGGCTGAGAGGAGGCAAGCATGGAGGAGCGGCTGAGAGAGCTGTCCTACACTAAAGACGGAGACCACCCTCATACTTCCTGATCCTGATCCTAAGAGGTACTCTGCTCCTTAATAAAACACTAAACTGTAAAAAACAAATGAGTTTCAAGTTTTATGATTAAAAAGTTGCATACACACACGAAGGAGCTTCAAACATTTTGTGGAAAAATGGAATTAAAAGACAATGGAATTTTTCCATGGACTTTTTGAAACCCCCTCGTGTGCTT